AAATCTAGCCTGAAAGTTGCAACAGGTCTGATGGAGAGATGAATGTAAAATCTTTGGTTCAAGTAATCATAAATATGTACAGAGGAGACTGGATATATGCCTCTGTCATGGTTTGGGGCTGAATTTCAGCCAGTGGCTTTCAGGATCTTGTTAGAGTTGATGGAACTATGAACACAGAAAAGGACCGTCAGATTTTGATCCACCATATGTTACGGTTTGGAAAAAGTGAGGCTGGCAAAAGCTTCATTTTTCAGCCTGACAATAACCCCAAACACACTGCCAGTAAAAACATACCTGGATAGAAAAACAGACAATGAAACACCATCAGTCATGGATTGGCCAGTCATGAATCGTATTAACGTAGAAGGGTGCAATAGAAATATTCAAAGAAGAGCTTCTAAAATGTCCTTCAAGAAACTTGGAGAACTATTTCTGAAGACTACTTCAAGAAATCACAAGAAAGCTACCTGATAGAGTTAAGACTTTAGTGAAGAATAGTTGGTCTAACCAAATACTGACTTTCTGGTTTTGCCTTATATACTGTGTTTCCATGCATGGTTGAATATATAATCCAATAAAGCATTGCACCTATTTCCAGTTTTCCTAGCGAGATATAAAGGTTGAGGGGTTACTCAAGACATTTGCACAGAATTGTATTTAGAGGAATGTCACAACAGCAGGAAGGAATGCCAGTTCCTGTTAGTCAGAAAATGTCAAGGGACTGTTGTTGTTGTTATCCCCAAACAGTATTTGAAATAAACAACATCTAAAATGTGATTCAAGCCAAAATGAATCCAGCTCTGGATTATTTTAGCTTGAGTCTTTTCATTATTCAAAATAAGAGGAAATCCTTCAGAGACAGGAAGGTTTCCCTTTTGTGTAATAAAGATCCAAAATGTTATGCCAAAAACAATCTGGAATGTGGTAAACAATATAGGGGCACGCACTACCCGCATGACACACGTGTGACTACGGGGTCTTGGCGTGGCTGGAAGTTCATCATAGTAGAGTCATGCAAACCCCAGGGAGCGATGGGCTTAGTTTAGCACCTACAGGGAGTTGTACAAACACGATAGTATCCAGGTTGCACTGTGGTAAATGCCTGCCTGGCACAACACAAGCCCCATTTGGCATACTCAGGCGTATTACACATCAGTTCAAAAAAGCTGTGCATGCCTTCCTATATATTGTTAATGACTAACGAATCAGAGAAAAGCAGCCAAAATACTCATAAACACAGGAAATTGTATTCAATCTAACAACAAAATCACTTGGGAGGCAATGGAGTCGAGGTCAGTGTAATATTGTTGATCATAGGAAGCTCGTCTCAGAGTGTTAACAATGACCAAACAAACAGAGGTGGGTCTGCAGTTGGACGCTTCGGATCAGGACAGCAACAAGTACAAGTGGGGCTTTCCTACAATCGAGTGGAGCTCCGGGGCCTGCTTCAAAACATGAAACAAGCGCTTCGAGCTGCCAGAATCCTTTTCAATACCCTGAGGTTTTTGCAAAGGAAAAAATTCCAATCGAGTACCTTTGTTCCTTTGTTCATGTTCTCAAGTGTTCTTCTGGGAGCCCATAGGTGAACTGAGGGTGTTCTTTATCCAGGGTGTGACTGCAACCACAAAAGGTAGTTCCCATCTTAGACACATGTATAGATTATCAAAACAGCAAATTAACCCAGCCAGAAGAGGAATATGACAAAAGCATGTTAACAATACATTTCCCATGGAATGTCGGGTGATGCAAGAGATGTGTTTATGACTTTGCATCTCTCAAATCCTGAAGAAGCAATAAAATAAGTAAATAGAATATTAAATAGTATAAAGCATAAAACTAACACTGGGGTTAGGTATACTAAATTGAATTATAGTGTTTACATTCATAGTTTTTCACTGATGGATTTCGACATATTGTGCTGTTTTAGGAGCGTCTTTTGGCATTCTCTAGTTTTTTCTTGATTAGCCGCCCAGAGACAATAGGACATTTATTTTAAATCATGTTCTTCTAAAGTGAATCTTAATCTTAATTGATTCATTTTAAAAGAACACAACTTGATTAAAAGATCACACCGAGCTGTTCTATCAGTACAGAGCTGCTTAATTCAGTTCCGGGAACACCAGAGAGGCGTCACATGGTGTCTAGTGACACCTGGCGGTGTAGACAATACACTACACAAAAGGCTAGCGGTAAGTGGAGTTACATGTGCTCTTAGCAGAGGGGTTATGCTATGAAGGAACCTTTGCACAGCCAGGTTTTCTTTGCCTAAGCTGGCTCGACAAAACTTCGAAGTCCAGTTGGAGATAAGAGAAAGACTTTCTGTTGCATTTTTTTCCCCATTGGGGCAGAAAAAGATTAATGCTGCCTAAAATACTTAATCTTTGGATTTACCGAGGGGTAAAATAAACAGTTTAATTCAAATTATGTTATTCTCAATGCTGTTGTTTATTTTAAGGAGATTGCTGCACATTGCAGCTCTGAAACTTCAAATTTATACATCCAAACATCGCTGTTAATATAGTTTAATAAAGGAGATGTGGAAACTGCTTCAATTTGTCGCCATATGAAGATGAAATTGATTTTACTGATTAAACAGGTGTTCTTTGTGTGTTCTGTATTAACAAAGAAAAAGAAAGAGAGGAGGAAGGATGGAGGACAGCTGGAGTCTGGAATCTGGAAGTACAGAGAATTACCACGGAGGAAATGAGGGCAGCTAAGAAGAGCTATGAGGATGAAGAGAGGAAAACTTGTTGGTGCAGATGACAGAACTATAGAGGTATGGGAGATGTCTAGGAGAGAGGGCAGCTGGCTTTATAATGGAGTGAAGTGTGGTGCTGATTTTCAAAAACAAGGGTGATGTGCTGTAGGAATTACAAAGGGATAAAGTTGTTAAGGACTTTGCTGATAACAGAGGCTTGCAAAGAACACAACAGATGTGATGTTTGTTTAAGAGTGTTGATGGGGAAGTACAGGAGTTTGCTCCAAGTCAGGAGTTTCACTACAAATCTAGATATCAAAGATATTGTGACAAAGGAGGGATTGTGGTACTGTATGACGAAGTCAGGAGTGGCAGAGACATATTTGAGGGTGGTGCAGGCCATGTAAGAGAACAACAAGACACTAATGAGGTGTGTGGTAGGACTGAGAAATGGGTTCAAGGTGGGAGTGGGATTACTTGTCCACAAGTAAGGAGGAGAGTGCAACCACGGTGGTTTGGGTGGAAATAAATGTCAGGGCTGATATGTGACAAGGAAGATTTACAAGACGATGGATCATCTGCCTCGAGGCAGATGACGTTCTCCACAGCTTGTCCAGATGCTTTCACATCTTTCACAGGTGCTCAGGGTGTACCTGCTGTCATCTGTGAAAAGCACAGTGGTGCCAGTGGTGGATCTAACAATCCCACTATTCTATGGCAAATTCCAATCAGGCTCAGGCTCTTGAGACTGCACTGGAAGACACAGCGAACCTTCTGGAACGTGTCATATTAATGTGTCATCCTGGAGGAGTTGGACTACCTGTGCAACCTTTGCAATTCCAAGTATCGCCTTATGCTACCAGTAGTTACAGATGAAGACGGTAAAGAAAAAAAATGTCAGTGACCTCCACTTGTCAAACCATTCCTGTTTTGGGCATTGTCTGTTTGTTGCTGCTCTAATGCATCTGCTTTGAATTTCATTAACACCAAAGCAGCTGAAACTGCTAGTCTGCTATTTAGCTGACCAGATGAGTATCACAGAGGTTTAATTGACTGTATGCATTTCTGAACAGTGTATAAGTAGGCTGGAGTGTAAGTGCCATCATATACACCTATCTTCAATTAAACCACAACCCACAGGAGCTAAACAAACAAATAACCGAAATACGTGACTAATACGTGACTAAATTTAAGCCGTTGTACATCAATAAGGATAAATACCAATCAAGAGTATCAAAACAACAAACGAACCTTTGATTGGTGTATAAGCTGAGGACTTATCCAATCAGAATGCACCTCAACTAAAGGGAACCCACCGATTGGTTTGTTGTCACGCGTGCCCCGTGAACGTTGAATCCTGCTGTTTGGGAGCGAGCAGTGCAGGCGGTGTTGTGACAAGGTGAGTTAGCTTTTCATGACTCGTATCCCTAAAACATTGTAATAACACGCTGTTTGTGTTTGTGTTCACACACACAGAGCGGGTCTTTAACGTGTGAGCAGCACAGTGTAACTATAACGGTAGCTACTTACGAAACACACGTACGTGCAGCGTCAGTTTTGTAACTGTTCCCTTCAGATGTCAGCTGTGGCTATCGGCCTCTGTCTGTGAAATATTTCTCCCAAAACTAAGGTTTTTAAGAAGATGCGTTAAAGGGATAACACAGTAATTCCTTCACCTGGCGCTTGATCAGCTAACAGGGAAATGTGGTGCATTAAAGGACACAAACTGCTTTTGCTGTCACGTTAGAAAGTGATATTGTAACCTTGTAAACAGGCTGTTTAACCGTAACCGTATTAGGCTACATAAGCATATTTTTTTTTAACTTTAAATAAATAATTTTAACTGGTGACAAGTTGTTTATTTTATATTTTGATGATTTAAATCTTTTCTTTTATTTCCTGCTCGTATTTGTTTGTCCTGTACATTTTTCTTTAAATATCTGCCTTTTCTTATTAAGGGCAAAATATAACCAGTATAATGGAAAACGAATTCCCACCAGAGCCCAACAGTGCCAAAAAAGGAAGGGCAATGATTGCTTTGGACGATGACAATGATGATGAAGTTCTCAGGTATGAAGAAAACAAAGTAAATAAGCAGCAATTTATCTTTGCTGCTATTTTGTCATTCAGATAAACGGCTAAGTGTTCTTTTGTGTCGCCCTTCCTGTCCGTTTCTGCTTCACCAAGTCCAACAGACCTGTCTGAGCTGTTGGCCGAGGGGACCAAGGAGGCCCACGACAGAGCAGAGAACTGCCAGTTTGTAAAAGATTTCCTCAGGGGACGCATTAAAAGAGAGCTGTTTAAGGTTTGATTTTTCACTATATAAAGGCAAGAATTAAGGCAGCTAAAGTGTCTGTGAACCAGTGAAAGTAATGAACTACTGTACACAGGAGAGCGTCACACAAAGGTCTTCAGCTTGACCCTGTATATTGAAAGTGCTTAGAGACATAGGCCTACATTTGGTGTTGTCAGTGTGATAAAGTCTCGATCTATGCTTTGCCTTGGTTCTAAGGCATGATCAGAAAAATGCTGCCAAAGAAACTGGCAAAATGTGAGCTGTCTGGAACATCAGTTTATCAAATAAAATCATATTTCACCATTTAACTGTATATTACGGTATGTCTAACAGTTTCTGCTAGATGAAACACTTTATGTCTGACTCTGACCCACTTAATTCTCCCCTCTTTCCTCCCTCTGCTGTCAGAGAGGCACAGCAGCTCTATATTTTGTCTACTCGGCTATGGAGGAGGAGATTGAGAAGAACAAAGACCATCATCATATCGCTCCAATCTATTTCCCCGTAGAGCTGCACCGGCATGAGGCCCTGGCCCAGGACCTTGAGTATTTCTATGGAGAAGACTGGGAAAACCAGGTCAGTAGGAAGCATATGGAGGATAAATATGTCAGTCCCAGAGAATGCTGATCTTTTCTGGCACTTAAGTTATGATTATACAGGTATCATCATCCCAAAAGCTGTATTTAATCAACTGGACTTTCACAGTTGTGTTCTCTCTTCAGATTAGCCTCTCTGCAGGCACCAAGCCTTATGTGGACCGCATCCATGAGGTGGGGGAGAAGGACCCAGTGTTGTTAGTGGCCCACTCCTACACCCGCTACATGGGTGATCTCTCAGGTGGACAGATCCTTAAGAAAGTGGCACAGAGGGCTTTAAAGCTCCCCTCAACAGGAGAAGGTCTCAATTTCTACCAGTTTGAGGGAATCCACAGTCACAAAGGCTTCAAGCAGCTTTACCGAAGCAGGATGAATGAGCTGGAACTGGACGCTGAGACCAAAGACAGGATTGTGGAAGAATCTAATCAGGCTTTTGGCTTCAACATGATGGTGAGGAAACTGCTTATAGGAATTATACAATGTACAGCAATTTGCAAAAAGGTGCATTGTTTGAAAGATAAATTTAAAGTTAATAAATATTTAATTTTATTATTTACAAAAAGGTATTCACAGAACTTGAAGAGCTTGGAAAGACTATCAAAGAGGAGGTCCAAGATGCAGGGTTTGGACACAGTCATGCAGAGATGATGGAGGGTGGCGATATCAACAAGTGTCCATATTATGCAGCTAAAATGGGTAAGAAATGCATCCCCTTTACTGTATTTATGAAATTTTGTTTCTTGCATTTCATTCTGCAGATAGAAAGTTAAAAATTTGGTGCTCAGTTTGATAATAGTTTATAGACTTGCCTTTAAAAGATTGGACAGTGTCATCATGGACTTCAGTTAAAAGGGATCCTTTTAACTGTGGGATGTCTGAGTGCAAAGTGTCAGACCATTCATAGCTACAAAGTTACATGAAGTACCTAATTCAATTATCCTGTTTTTTTCCCCCTCCTTTTTTCTGTGTTCTCATCTTCATGTCTCCTCTGAACAGCTGTTAGTGGAAATCCTACGCATGCGTGCCAGTTAGCCATGACACTTCTCAGACATCCGCCCTGCCAGGTGGTTCTGGCTGCCTGGATGGCCGCCCTGGCTGGGTTTACTGCCTGGTACTTTATGTGACACAGCTTTCTACTTCAGAAACAACTTATGTCGGTGAAAGAGCTTTTGCAGTGATGCAGTTGTTTGAAAAGCTATTTTATGATGCATGCAC